CTTTGCCTGGGTTAGCCTTTAACTGCTACTCCCCCGCTCCCCCTACCAGGGAATTTCAATGTTCTTGAGTATATATTTATATACCTAATTTTCATTTCTTAAACTGAGAGCCAGTAGTTTTCCCTTCTTAAAAACATGTTTTGGTATAATTTTCATTTTAATGGTCATAGCCATCATTTCATGTTAGCATGGCCAGGCATGTTTGACCATCATAATTTTATCAGAAATTTAACACACACACACACACACACACACCACGCACACACACGCACAGATTATAAAATAGTTTCAGACAAGTACTGGTGGATCATACCTGTGAACTGTATCTACTTAGCAGACTGAGAAGGTTGTTATTCAAGGCCTGCCTGGGTGTATACTGGAGATCCTGGGCAGAGGGGCGTGTACCTGTCATCTTAGCTACACAGGAGGCTGTAATTGGGAGGATTATGGTTCCAGGCAAGTCCAGGCAAGACTCCATCTCATCAGATGAAACTGGGTGCCACCCCAGTTAAGGTGGAAAACGTAAAACTAGGAGGATTATGGTCCATAATGCTAGATCCCCATCCAAAAGCTGAGTAAGCAAAAAGGGCTGGAGGCAAGATTCAGCAGTAGAGCACATGCCTAGTAAGTGTGAGCTTTTGAGTTCAGTCCCCAGTCCCACTGAGCACTGGGTTCCTAGCTACTCCGGAAGCTGAGACCTAAAGGACAGTGGTTTGAAGTCAGCCCCGGAGAAAAAGTCTTTGAGACTTCATCTCCAATTAACCAGCAAAAAAATGCTGTACTAGAGGTTTTCAAATGATAGAGTGCCTGTATGAGCAAGTAAACAAAGTGATATCCTGAGACTCTGAGTTTAAGTCCTGGAACTGTCACAATAAAAAGGAACAGTGTTGGCTAGACAGGTGTTCTACCATCTGAGCTGTGCCCTCAGCCCTTTTTGCTTTGGTTGTGTTTTGAAAAGGGTCCATATTTTTATTTGGGCTGCCCTCCAACCATAGTCCTCCTGCCTCTACCTGCTAACTAGCTGAGACCACAGCATGTACCTCCTTGCCAAGCTTACTGGTTAAGATATGGTTTTACTAACTTTTTGGCCTACTTTGGCCTTAGCCTGTGATCCTCTTGATTTTTGCCTTATGAGTGGCTGGGATTACAGGCCTGAACCATTGTGCCTAGAAAACAAAAAAACAAAAACTGTCTGATTTAGTGGAGGACAAGAATGATAGATAACACATCCACATAGTGGCTAAGGATGAGTTACTTGTGTAAGCCTGTGTAACATACCTGGAGTTCTCAGAGGAGAAGGCCAGCTGCTTTCTGCTAGAGTTTAGTACCTTCCATGTTTTGCCGTTTGTGCTATAATTTTTTTCGAAACTCAGTTCAAACATCCCAATTTGGCAAAATACTTTCACATTTTCAAATTAATTAGGATAAGATGGTGTGAAATGATTTCTTGAGATGACTTTTGTTCCTGTAAGATGGATGGACAGCATCATTCACTCTTTTTTTTTTTTTTTTGCTGTTCTTTTCTTCTCTTTGGTTTGTACCAGCCTTGTCAGAATTTAAACTATATTGTTGGTCTTTTCCAGAGAAGTAACTTTTAGCTTTTGGTGTTTGGAAAACTCTCTAATAATAGTTACAAGGGGAAGGAAATGAGTTTTGCATCAGATATTGACAACAATATTTATGCGGAAGAAAACTGACTAACATACTTCATGCATTCAAAAAAAGAAAAATCATAGTTAAGGAATTTGTGTTCCAACCAAAGTGACTTTTCAGGGGAAAAAAAACTCATCATGAGTAATAACTCAGGAGATATTGTTTGTTACCTGTCTGACAAATTGAGTAGAGAAAGATGTTTGAGCAACTGAACTGCTGTTAATAGGACTGAGAATGCATTAAACATAAAGTTATGGGTAAAAGTTAGACTCCACAGCCGGGTGCCGGTGGCTCATGCCTGTAATCCTAGCTGCTCAGGAGGCTGAGATCTGAAGATTGATGTTTGAAGCTAGTCAGGGCAAGATACTTATCTCCAACTAACTACCAAAAACTGGAAATGGAGCTCTGTATGGCTTTAGTGGTAGACCACTAGTCCTGAGCAAAAAGGAACTCAGAGACAGCACCCAAGCCCAGAGTTTAAGTCCCAAAAATGGAAGAAAAAAAAATTTAGACTTCACAAGTGCTTAAAGGGTCAGGTCATAGAATGTCATTGAGTTATGTTCAGACCTCAGTTTTAGGATTACCAATGAATACATATTATGGTTTTTCCCCCCTTACAATTTATTTTCCTAATGTGTGGTTTAAGAGTTGTTTCTTTTTTATAAACAGAGGTTAATGTGCTTGTTGACTTCTTATAGCTTTGCTTTTTTTGAGTGTGTGTTGGTACTCAGACTTGAACTGGGGGGCTGGGCACTCACCCTAAACTTTCTTTGCTCAAGGCTAGCACACTACCACTTGAGCCACAGCTCCTCTTTGGCTTTTGGTGTTTAATTGGAGACAGGAGTCTCACTGACTTTCCTGACTGGGCTGATTTCAAACGTTGATCCTTACATCTCAGCCTCCTGAGTAACTAGGATTACAAACATGAGCCATGGTGCCCAGCTAGATTTGCTTTTTAATGATATAATTGTCATTTTCTGATGACAGAAAGCGTTACTATGTTTTACAACTGAGATTCACAATCTTGCTTTCTTCTATATCCCCTCAGTGTCATTCTACAGATGGTCACTGGTATTCGCTTTTAGGTTTCTTTTTTTCTTACATAAAAATTGGCATAGTGAATAGCAAATAGCCAAAGCAATCTTGCACACACAAAAAAAGGCAATACCAGGGGTCTGGGAGTATAGCAATTACCCTACTTCAAATTATATCCCAGAACCATAGTAATAAAAACAGGATGGTACTTGTAAAAGCAACAGACATGTAGATTAATGGAGTGGAATAGAACATCCAGAGGTAAATGGATGCATCCATAGCTGTCTATTTTTCCACAAAGGTGAGAAAGTCCTATTTTGAAGGCATAAATTGAAGAAAAGATCATCTCAGTTTATAAGTAATGCTAGGAAAACTAGATACCCACATTCAGATAACTGAAACTAGATTACTATCTCTGATCCTGTATAAGAATAACTTGAAAATGGATCGCATACTTTGTGTTAAACTCCTGAGACTTGGAAACTACTCTAAGACAACATGGAAAAACCCTTCAAGATGAAGGCAAAGACAACTAGTTTTTCTACTGGAATCTTAATAAAAATAGTCCCTGCACCACAGAGGAGACAATGGTATCCTACTGAGTAGGAGAAAAGCTTTGCCAGTAATGATCTGACACAGTATTAACATTCAGAATTTGTAAACACTGAAAACGTTTAACACCAAGAAAATCAATAATCTAATAAACAAATGGACAAATAAATGGAACAGATATTTTTCAAATGAAGAAATAAAAATGGCCAATAACTATATTAAAAAGTGTCATCTTTAGCTATCAGGGAAATGCAGATCAAAATTGAATTGAGTTGGGTACATGCTTGTAATCCTAGGTACTCAGAAGGCTCAGGTCTGAGCATCACAGTTTGAAGCCAACCTCGGTAGGAACATCTGTGAGACTCTTATGTCCAGTTAACCTCCAAAAAGCTGGAAGTAGAGCTTTGGCTCAAGTGATAGAGTGCCAGCCTAGAGAAGAAAAGCTCTGGAACAGCACCCACACTCTGAGTTCAGGATGGACACAAAGCAAAACAAAAACAAAAAAAACCCAAACTAGATTTGAGCTGAGCATGATATCGCCTCTCATCTTACTTTCTTGGGAGGTAGAAAGCATGAGGATTATAGTTGGAGGCTAGCATTTGCAAAAAGTTAAAAAGGTGTGTTTTTTTTGTTTTGTTTTAACTTTACAAATAAGCTGGACATGGTGGTTGTTCATGCCTATAATCTCAACTACTTGGAAGGTGATGGTAGAAGACTCATAGACCAAGACTGATTCCTGGCACTATCCTTTCAGATAGTGAGCCCAGTCTGAAAGATAAAGTAAAGCAAGGAGATTGGGGGTGCTGCTGAAGTTGCCTTTCAAAACAAAAAGAATACATTGAGATTTACCCACTTTGGTCAGAATGACTACTGGGAAAGAAAAAAGAAGGTGAGGGGAAAGGGAGCCCTATACACTTGGGTGAGAATACAGATTAGTCCACCACTATGGGAAGCTGTGTGGAGGTTCTACAAAACTCTAAAGATACAAAAATAAAAACTACCATATGATGCAGATATAGTAATGCCAGGCATGTGTCTGCAGGAGCCAAAGGCAGCATTCAATAGTTACTGCACACTCATGCTTCTCATTGTACTGTTCACAAAAGCCTAGTCATCAGCTCTGATTCATGCCCATCACTAGATGAATGGAAAAAAGTGTGTGAATGTGGGCTTGATTATATATAACTATATTATATATACACACATATAGTATTAGCCTTGAAGAACTCAGTCACGTCAGTGACATGAAAATGAGTATAAGTAGAACTCGTTATAATGGAAAGTAAGCCAGGAAAACAAGTATTGTGGAAGTATTATGTCACGTGGAATCTTAGAAGACAGAAGGGAGAGCTCATATCTGGTGCTACTCAGATTTCAGGAAGCTGAAATCTGGAAGATGACAAATACTAGGCTGGCTGGGCAGAAAATTTTGCTATACTCACATCTCCAAATAACTAGCAAAAAAAAAAGGCCTGGAGGAATGGTTCAAGTGGTACAGTTTAGCTTAGTAAACTGTGTCCTTCCATCCCTCCTCCCTCTCCGTGCCCTTCCCACCCCAGTTGTAGTAATATACATTCTTACTCACTTTACCCTTTTCACCTCACTGTGTTAGATGACCTTCATTGAATGTTATTTATTTTTGAATGAATTGTTGGACGAATAATTACTGAATAATTGAATAAAACAAAGGGAAACGGGAATTTCCCCCATGTCTTCCTTTGAGAGTTCAGATGTGTTTATCTGTTTGTCGTTACCAGCTTGCATTCACAAGAGATGGGCTCTGTGGCCTGTGGAATGAAATGGTTAAAGATGGAGAAATTGTGTATACTGGGACAGAGTTAGCCCAAAATGGAGAGCTCCCTCCTAGAAAAGGTAAGCATTTTTAACTAGTATTTTTTTTTATTTTTGTAAAGATCCATTATAGAAATTCTGTGATGTGCTATAGAAAAAGGACATTTGAGTAGCACATTTCTCTGAAGTTTCATATTTTGTTTAGTGATGATTATCTAAGATGTTAATTAATATTCCAAGCTGCCCAGATTTCATTGCACTGATGGCATTTTCATTGCAAAATCAGCCCCTTGCATTTGTGGTGGTCTCATTTCCTATCTGTTGTACAGTTTGGAAGTTGTTAATACTTTCCTCCTTTCAATTGTTTTGCCTAATTTTTTTTTTGACACATAGTCTTTTTATGTAGCTCAGGCTGGCTTGGAATTCACTATATAGCCCATCCTGACCTTGAACTGATGATCTTTGTCTCTCTACCTCTCAAGTGTTAGAATTACAGACATATGTTCAATATTGATTATTGTAATATTATTCCTAAAATTTTTCTTGTATAACTCTCCTTTTGCAGTTAAATACCGGTAACCAATCCTGTTTAGTTTTGTGGTTAGGAAAGGAAAGAGACTCATGTACATTTGTTCTTAACCTTGACTGTGGACAGAGTCATCATCAAGACTTTCAAAAGTAATGGAAGCTTGTACTCAACTCCAAACTTGTTGAATCCAGAAAGCCTCAGTTGAATTCCACTACTGTTTGTTGGTCTTACTACTTCAAAGCCTTCAAGAGAAAACTACTACTTTTTCCCCGTTGTAGAATAATTGGAATCCTAGATATTTGAAAATACATGAAAGGCTGGGGGGTGCTGGGTGCTGGGCACCAGTGGCTCATGCCTGTAATCCTTGATTGAAGCCAGCCTGGGCAGGAAAGTCTGTGAGACTTTATCTCCATTTAACTACCAGGAGAGCCAGAAGTGGAGCTGTGGCTCAGGTGCTATCCTTGAGCAGAAGAGCTCAAGTACAGAGCCTAGGCCCTGAGTTCAAACCCCAGGACTGGCACAAAAAAAGAAAACAATACACAAGAGACAGTATTAATGTATCTCTTTGGTGACAATGTCTAGCAAAGTGAACTCCTGTTTCCTTTTGGTACAATTTCCATATAAATACAGAATAACAGAGATGAATACAGTTAGTGATTGTGAAACCCTCCCCAAATACTGTGGGGCTCCATTTGTTTATTACAGGGCTCCACAGCTTTCTGTATCCATTCCCTGTATTCAGAAGTATGCATATTCATTTATTTATATGTTTATTTAATGCTGGCACTCAGACTTGAACTCAAGGCCTGGGCCCTATCCAGCTTTTTTGCTCAAGTTTTTGCTTTACAACTTGAGGCACAGCTCCACATCCAGTGTTTGGTAGATAATTGGAGATAAAAGTCTCTCCTCTGGGCACGGTGTCATGCCTATAATTCTGGCTACTCAGGCTGAGATCTGAGGATTTTGATTTGAAGCCAGCTCAGGCAGGAAAGTCTATGAGACTCTTATATCCAATTAATTACAGAAAAATCTGGAAGTGGTGCTATGACTTAAGTGGTAAAGCACTAGCCTTGAGCAAATGGAGTGCAGGGATAGCACCCAGGCCCAGAATTCCAGCCAAAACCAAAAAATCTCTCAGACTTTCCTGCCGATGCTGACTTCAATCCACAGATCTCAGCCTCCTGAATAACTAGGATTATAGGTGTGAGCCACTTATACTCAGCTGTTTTTTATGAAGTACCTTTGATACTTTTTGTTCTTTATTCTTTTAAAAATCACGTGGCTAGAAAACAAAAGATAATTGTTCTTTGTGCACATCAGTAATCAACAGGGAATGTTTTTTGACATTTCAATTTAAAAGTTTCTATTTTGTGTGTGTGTATTTATGTGTATATGTGTTTGTGTGTGTGTGCATGCACACGCATGTGCATGGGCATGTATATGTGCACACCAGTACCAGGGCTTGACCTCAAATCTTGCTCAGGGCTTTCAGTTAGCTTTGTAGCTCACAGCAGACATTCTACCACTTGACCCATGCCTCCAATCCAACTAATTTGCCTGTTAATTGGAAGTAATGCCTGGGCTGTCTGTGAACCATGATGCTCAGATCTTACCCTCCTGAGTAGTTAGGATTACAGATGTGAGCCCCTGGTGCCCGAAAAAGTTTCTATTTTAAATGTGACATAATAAGTACTTTTTATGATTAGAAAATATACTTTTTAATAAATAGGTTCATACATATCATGTTTTCTTATGTGGGTTTAAACCCAGGGCTTCAGTTCTGGAACTCAGTTGAGCCACAGCCCTGGACCCATTTTGTTTTAGGAATATTTTGATAGTCTGCAGTTTTTGCCCTGGGCTGACCTCAGACTTTGATCTTCTTATCTCCATCTCTTGGTCCTCTTACTAGCTCAGCTTCCCAAGTAGCTGAGATGATAGGCTTGTTCCTTTCCACCTGCCTCACTTCTTGGTTGAGATAGGGCCTCAGCAACTTTTTGTCTGGGTCAGCCTCCAACTAATAGTCCTGATCACCTCCCAGGTAGCTGGGGTTACAAGTGTGAGCCATTTTGTCTGGTCTCGAGTTCTGATTCAGTAAGTTTGTGGTGAGCCTTGCATTTGCCTTTTAAACATGTTTCCAAGTTGTGTTGATGCTGTATACTTGAGGAATACCTTGTTTCCCTTGCATAGGCCTGGTCTGTTGCATTGGGAGAAACCAAAAGAAAGGAAAAGTGTTTTCTTGTGCACTCATTAGAAAATAGAATAATGAAAATGTATCTACTGTATTCCAAAACAAGTACAGTTGTTTTTTCTTCATCCACTTTTTGTCCTTCATAATGCTTCTTTACTGTTTTGCATCTTGAGAGTTTTCTGGAAAGCTTTAGTAGTCTACCTTTAGTAGTCCACCTTCTGTCCTTCTTGTGTCAGCTGTAAATAATGACGTCAGCATCCGTTGGATCCCTTGCTTGTCTCTGGAGTCTGTTCCCTACAGGATCAACAGTTCCTCTGTGGCTCTGAAATTGGCCTTGTTTATGTGGCCTTTAGCTTATACCCCGAGGTTTCTAGGGTATTGCGTTGGAAGGGAGTAGGTAAGAGTGAAGTCTTTGGCAAAGTGATGACAAGTCCCAATATTATCCAAACAGACACAATGAAATCTTCAGCAAGGTTGCATTCTTAGCTGTTCTGAAAACTTGTTCAGAGCCCACCATGGGGTTTAGGACCCATGGTAGGGGTTAAGGCCCACTTTGAGAGTAAGAGCATGGTAAGACATTGAGGTCTGGACCCGTCTCCAAGCTGCCACTGCCATCTGGAGAACTTCATTTGTTTGCTTAAATAGATTATACACGTGCAAAGTTCATCTGGGGAAGATGGATTTTCCCCCCCTTTTTTGATTTTATGGTTCTTTCCCTATTGTGGTCTTGAGTCAGAGGACAATTCAAAGGACAGCCACAACAACAAGCTGATGAGGAAATCATGCACATCCACCCTACCTGATTTAATTTCTAGGCCTTTTTGCTTGTGATCAAGCAGGCATGAATTCTCTGATGTGGGAACCAGTCTTATCCTAAAGATCATTCCAGTCTAAAGATGTCCTGACAGAATTATCACTCTGATCTTGGGAAAATAGAGTCCAGAAGCTACTAGGAGAAGCTGAGCAGCCAAGGCTGGGCTGACACTTTCTCTAGAGATGGCTCATTGCCTTCCTGCATAGAAAGGAAGCCCTGTAGCAAAAGGCTTACTATACTTTTAAAAAATGGTCAGCTTTGTCATTTTTAACATACTTTTCCAGGTGTTATAAGTGAAGGCAAAGGTTTTCCCTCATTTTTTTTACGCTGTTTCTGCTTATTTGTATTTCTTACTATCTTATTTCATGATGCTTGGTCAGACATTTTTGTCTAAAGCTAATAGTATTGCCTTGAATTCATATTTGTATTTCTCTGCTATCATACTTCTTTTTTTTTTTTTTTACTTAACCTCAGCCATCCATTCATTCTGACTTAATTTCAGCCATTGGTATTAATTACAATACTTTATCTAAATCAAAACTAAGGGCCCCGCCCACCACATCTGTTATTTTTCTAGACCAGTTTTCTAGGTGTGTACAATTCAGTCTCCTTCAGACATTCACTCTCTCAGTAAGCACAGACCCCAGAGAGCATGCGTCCTACAGAGCATGTCAAGTGTTCATCCTTCCCAAACCACTCACACTTCTACCCTACCTATAGACTTGCAGGTTTTCAGGACATGACCTTCAGGTTTGACAGTTAGCTAAAATGACTCAGAGAAAAGACTCACTTGTTTATTCTGCCTTTAGAATATACAAGCAGGAGCAGGCAGATGGGAAGAGATGTACAGCACAGAGTGTGGGAGTGGGGAAGCTTGCCCAGTCTGTGTCCTCTCTGGGCATGCCCCTCCCTCCACGCCCACATCTTCACCATACGTTTTGTAACTAAATCATTACCCTTGCTCCCCTGCTTGAGGTCAGGAGCAAATTCCCCTCCTCTAATGACCTATTTGATTGTTCTGATGACCAGCCCCGGTACTAAACTATTTTACACTTATAATCTCATGCCTGTAATCCCAGCTATGAAGGAGAAACAGGAGGAGTCTTAGTTCAAGACCAGTCCAAGCCAAAAAAAACAAACAAAAAACACTACCCTATTCGAAAAATAACTAAAAAATACAACCAACAAAGCTGGGGTGGGGGGGAAAGGGGTGCAGAAGGATCCAGGTATGGCTCAAGTGATAAGAGTGCCTATGTACCTTAGCAGGCCTGAAGCTTGAGTTCTAACTCCACTACTACAAAAAGCTAAAATTAAGGGGAAAAAAAAATTAAAGATCTGAGGGCATAGCTGAAGTGGGAGTATAGGTGTAAGCCTTCATATCTAGCCTATTTGCTGTAGAAGCCAAGATTTGGGGCAAAGATGAGATAGATATAGATATGATATGTAAGTGTTAAATAGGTAACTATTATATATATTTATTTAACCAGTATATGAATATTTAATCTGTAAACATATATATGTATAAATATATGTTTAGAGATTTAAAGGAC